GAACAAATAATCAGAGAAGCTGGATTATATGAAGAAAAACTTGGCATCAGGATTGGAGGAAGGTTCATTAACAACCTGCAATATGCAGGTGGTACAACCTTGCTTGCTGAAAGCCAAGAGGACTTAAAATGCTGATTGATGAAGATCAAAGACCACAGCCTTTGGTATGGGTTGTATCTCAAAGTGGTAAAACTCCTCACCATTGGACCAATAAATAACATCCATATAAATGGAGAAAAGATTGAAGTTGTCAATGACTTCATTTTACTTTGATCAGCCATCAACAGTCATGGAAGCAACAATCAGGAAATAAAATGACGTATTGCAATAGGAAAATCTGCTGCACAAGACTTTTTAAATTGTTGAAGAGCAAAGTTGTCAGCTTGGGAGCTAAGGTGTTCCTGAAGCAAGCCATGGTATTTTCAATATGCATGCGAAAGCTGGACAGTGACTAAGGAAGACCATAGATAGAAGAATTGATGTATTTGAGTTATGGTGTTGGAGGAGAATATTGAAAGTGCCATGGACTACCAAAAGAACAGACAGATCTGTGTTGGAAGAAGTGCAGCCAGAGTGCTCCTTGGAGGCCAGGATGGCCAAACTTCATCTCTCATACTTCGTACATATTGTCAGGAGGGACCAGTCGCAGGAGAAGGATATCATGTTTGGTAAGGTGGAGGGTCAGAGAAAAAGAGGAAGACCCCCAACGAGAATGATTGGCACTGTGGCAGCATCAGTGGGCTCAAACGTAGCAACGATTGTGAGGTTGGCCCAGGATTGGGCAGTGTTTTGTTCTGTCATACATAGGGGTTGCTGTGAGTCAGTACCGACTTGATGATACCTAACAACAACATTTTCAAAGTCTATCCAAGTTTCTGAGTAATATTCCATTGTGTGTATAAGTGCATTTCATTCATTTGTTTATTATTGGATGGATATTTAGTTCTTTCCTCTTCTTGGCTAGTATAAGTAATGATTCTATGAACATTCTCATGTAAATTATTATATGAATATATGTCTCTATATACCTAGGAGTGGAATTGTTGGGTCAAAGGTACTTGTGGAGTCCCAGTGTGGCACTGTGGGGTAATGCACTGGACCGCAAGGTTGGTTTGAACCACAAGGTTGGTGGTTCAAATTCACCAACAGCTTCTTGGAAACTTTATATGGGGTCACTATGAGTAAGATCTGACTCCACAGCACTTAACAACAGACAACAAGGTAGTTCTGTTTAACTTTTTGAGGAACTATCACACTGTTTCTCATTGTATGTGCTTTATTTTATATAAAAATATTTATATGGTTTTTTTGTATGTGTGCAGAAATGTGGATTTCTATACTAGAAGAGCTGCATTTCTTGTTTCAAAAAATGGAAGTGCACTTGAGTAAATTTTAATGCAATTTTTCAAGGGAAAAGAAAAAATTGCTTTGATATGAAAATTTTATGTAAATCAGCAAAATGAAAACAGTGGTCTTTATACAAGCATTATATTGATATTATTGTTGCTAAGTGCCATTGAGTCTGTTCTAACCCATAGCTGCCCTGTGTAGGGTTTCTATGGAGCAGCTGGTGGGTTTGAACTGCCAACCTTGTGATTCATAGTCCAGTGCTGATCCTATACCACCACACCAGGACTCCAAAAATACTATAGATACATCCTTGTTATTCAAAATTCTGTTATTATGTATCATGGATTTTAGCCTATTTGTACTTGTGAAAATAAAAATTTAACCATTAGTAAGAAAATATTGTGATTATGTAAAAAAAAAACAACTTGAAGTCCACCTTCACTGTTGTTGTTAAGTTCCGTTGAGTCACTTTTGAGTCATAGTGACCCTGTCTGTATAGGGTTTCCAAGGAGTGGCTAGTGCGTTTGAACCAATAACATCCTGGTTAAGCATCTCAGTGCTGATCCTATAGCGCTACACCTGTATGAATAAAGTCATTATTTTCAATGCTATAATATATGCAGTGTTTTCAGAGATAATATTTATATTTTATATCTACAGACCTTAAACCCCGGACATACAGCCTTCCTTCTGAATGAGAGTCTTCCAGAAGAGATGAGAAGACAAGTGGATGTTTTTGTAAGTCTGAAGTTTGGACAGTGACGGAGTCTGTGCACATGGAGGTCCAAGGGTGCTCTTTTCCCTGGTGAGTGTAATCACCTTCATTTATGTTTGTCCTCTTATTTGTATAAATTATCCGCACGATGTACATGCCAAGAAGTCCAGTCTTTCCAGAGGTCTCTGGATGATGCCTGACATTTTGTGACTAATTCTCATTCGTGGACACCATCTCCCCCAATGCAAGAAGCCTTGGTGGTGCAGTGATTAAGCAGCAGGCTGCTCATTGAAGGGCTGGTGGTTTGAACCCATCCAGTGGTTCAGCGGAAGAAAGATTTGGTGATTTCCTTCCATAAAGGTTACAACCTACACCTCCTTATAGGGCAGCTGTACTCTGTCACATGACAGGGTTGCGATGAGTAAGAATTAACTCAAGGGAACCCAACAATAACAATTGCTGCTGCTGTGTGCCATCGATGAGTCCCTACTCACTGTGACCCTGTATAGGGTTTCATCTTTATGGGATGAAACATCTTTCTAGGCTGTACAGCTTTACGGGAACAGACAACCTCATCTTTCTTCTGCGGGGTGACTGGTGGATCTCCTTATGCTTAGCAGCCCACCACATAACCTACTAGAAACCTGGGCTCCTTGTACAGCGACCACTGCCGCCCTGAGATGCAGTCACGTGATTGCCGAGTGGGAAGCTGCACCACTGAAGCTCCCAAGCACTCCGGAGCTTTGGAGAGGTCGGAGCTGTAGGACCGCCATTCCTAGCAGAACTGGGGCAAATAGCTTCACGAATGAAAGAGGCAGGGTAAACCCAATGCTGTCAAGTCCACTCCTGGCAACCCCAGGCCCTGTAGGGTTTTCTTGATGTCATCTTTGCAGAAATCAGATTGCCACGCCATTTTTCTCAGGCACCATTAGGTAGGTCCAGACCATCAGCCTTTATGTTAGTTAGTAGTTGAGCAGAGTTTTGTAAACAAACTCTCAAAAAGCTCTCAAAGAGGTCCATATCCTAGTCCTCAGGACTTGTGAGAATGTTACGTTGCATGGCAAGGCAGAATTCTGGTTGTAGATGGAATTGAAGTTGCTGACCTTGAGATGGGAAGGCCATGCTGGATTACCCAGTGGCTCCAGTTCTAATCATGAGTGTCCTTATGAGTGACAAGGAGGCAGGTGAGTCCAGGTGAGACGGGGAGATACGGTGATGGAGGCCATGACACAGGGTCGAGAATGATGTGGCATGAGACTCAATAGGGCATCGCTGACTTTGAAGATGAGAGAGGGGGCTACAAGCCAAGGGATGCGGGTGGCGTCTAGAAGTGGAAAAAGGAATGCAAACCCGGCCAGCTCTGTGCTTTTTGCTAGCGAGTCCCAGCTTGGACTTCCAACTCTCTGAGCTGTAAGAGACTACGTGTATGTTGCTTTAGGCCACTAAGCCTGCAACAAGTGTTATAGCAGCAGTGAGAATCTAATACAAGATTGTTGTTGTTGTTAGTACTGTGGAGTCGGTTCCGACTCACAGTGACCCTGCACAGGGTTTCCGAGGCTTTAAATCTTCACAGGAGCAGAATGCCTCATCTTTCTCCTGCAGAACCTCTGGTAGTTTTGAACTGCTGACCTTGAGGTTGGCAGCCTTACTCGTAACCACTATGCTACCAGAGCTCCTTAATACAATATTATTAGGTGTGACTAAAAAAGATGCCAGGAGTTAATGTTAAATGCTTCCTTTTTCATTCTGCATACATGTGACACATCCTTATTTTCTGGTGTCCACAGTGATAAGGGGAGTTCTGGTGTGGCACTGTGGGTTAATGCGCCAGACTGGAAAGCCATTTGAACTGCAAGGTCTGCGGTTAAAGCTCATCAGCTGCTCCTTGGAAACCCTACGCAGGGTCACTATGGGTTGGAACTGACTCGACGACACTTAACAACAACAACAGTGATAAGGAGCCATCCAACAAGCAAAGGCTGTGTATACAAGTTCAGCTTCATTCAAAATGGGTTGTTGCCATTACTGAACACTTTCTTCACTTGTTCATTCACTTCACTTACTTGCTTACTACACAGAAATGCCCGTTTAACCTTTACAGAAATGATCTTGAATTCGGGGACAAGGCAGGCTTTTGGTGTGAGAGGCCAGACCATTTGGACTATGCCCCTTCCCAGTCTTCATTTCCAAATCCAGGACTGACTTGTACTAATGATTGTTGTTGTTAAGTGCCGTCAAGTCAATTCCGACCCAGAACGACTCTGTATAGGGTTTCCAAGGAGTGACTGGTGAGCTTGAACCCTTGACCTTACAATTCAAACGACTTTGCAGTCTGCGCAATAACCCAAAGTGCCACACCAGGACTCCCGTACTAATGATGTGCTTACCCCAATTGTTATGATCACAGAATCCAATTTCTCACACAGTTACAAGGTCCTGAACTATCAACTCTCCCATGTTCTTTCTTTCCCCTCCAAACCATCCCCTAGTCCAATTAGATTTTCCTCCATTCCTCTACGTTTGAAACTTCCACTTAATAGCTTCCAGGATATATGCGCTCCACATTTTCCCTGAGCAATCCTGTCTCCTCTGTTTCTGTCTCCCATTTGCATCAACAACAGTAGTTTTCGCTGCTTTTCTTCTGTCCACCCTGGTCTTACTTTCAGACTGTCACCACAGTACTCAGCACAAGGAAGAACAACTAATGGGGTCACTACGTACCTCTTGACCAGTTAGCAAGAGGGCAGCTAGAGCAAAATTTATCCCTAGAAGAACATTTATCTTGTCACTGATGACCAATCAGCCAGTGACAACAGCCTATTAGAAATAAAAGAGGTTGCCTGGAATGTATTCCTTTATTCTTCTTCCTTTTATTTTGTTTTGCATGAAATGTAAAATCAACTAATGGAGATTTGTTTTTTTTCCACCCCCATAGGTCCCTTATATTTATTCTCTTTTCTGTACAACACGTATGTGGGGTAAGTGTCTTTATGAATTCTGATTGCATGCCAAAAATTCACTCAGTTTATGTGTCTGTGAAATATGGATTGGACTAGATGAATTTTAAGGTGTTTTTTACATTTTACAGTGATGATAACTTACTCAACTGCCTGGGTAGGAGATATTTCTATATTTATATCTAATAGGCCATGGAGTGAACCTTTCTTTTAAAAAAATATGTTTTTGGTAGACACACAGGAAGCAGCTGAGCCATTTCAAGATTAAGTCAAGACGTGGAAGACTAAATGGGAACCCTACTCTGGAGAAAGATCAACCTAGAACATTCTGTATTAAGACCTCCTTCTTTTCTTTCTTCACAAAGAATCTAAATTCTTAAGGCCAATCTCAGAGGTTCCTGGGAAAATCCCACTACAGGTTGGTCTTGAGACAACATAAGTAATTTAACTGCAGAACACAGGTCTGTCTACCATCTTTAGCTTGGTACCACACAGATGCATTTTAATCTTCAGTTACCAGAGATCTTTTTAAAGGCAAGCTGTATAGTTAAGCTGTCCTTCTTGCTTTTTGTCCTACAAGTTGGGAGTAGAAAGCCTGGGGAGCCCTTGGCTCTTGGTTCTGCCAGTAATTCCTAGTATGACCTGGACATGTCCCTTCCCTGCCCTCCCAGGACCCAGCTTTCTCCTGTGTGAAGTAGAGTGGTAAGACTTGTCCAGGTGATTTCAGGCCAACACTTGAGAGCATTCCCTAAAATAATTAGCATCACACTGTGAATGAATGGTTTCTGCTTTCTTTCTTTCTAAATGTCCAGGTGTGCTGTAGAATTAGCAGTGGACAACTAACTGCGAAATTGGTGGTTCAAACCCACCATCTGCTCCTTGGAAACCCTATGTTGTTGTTGAGTGCTGTAGAGTCAGTTCAACTCATAGTGACCTTGTACAGGGTTTCTCAGGAGCGACTGTGGAGCTTAATCTGCTGACTTTGTGGATCAAACCAACTTTACAGTCCAGAGCATTAATGCACAGCGCCATACCAGGACTCCCCCAAACCCTGTATAGGAACACTATGAGTTGGAACCACCTAGATGGCACTTAACAACAACAAGAACTCACTCTTTAAAATTGTTTCTTTATATGGGTGTCCCACTCCCATGGGTGTTCATTTGGTGGTTGTTTTGTGGGTGGGTAGATGGGCAGAAAAAAGGAGTGAGGGTTAGGGTTGTTGTTGTTAAGTGCTATGGAGTCATTTTCGACTCATAGCTACTCTGTATAGGATTTCCAAGGAGTAGTTAGTGAGCTTGAACTACTGACCTCGCAGTTCAAACTGACCTTGCAGTCCAGTGCATTAACCCACAGTGCCACACCAGGACTCTGAGAGGTAAGGTTAGGACTATGGTTAGCTTTAGGGTAAGGGTTGGCGTCAGACTAGGAGTAAGGCGTGGTCTAGCTTTTATTGTTACAGGTAGGTTTATTTTTATCTATTTGATTATTTTTTTCTTGAAATGAATTTGATTTCCTCTTTATTTGGAAGTTCTGTAAGGACATTATCCCCTCTTCTTCCTTTATTGTGTTGTTGCTGTTACTGTATCTTTGGTTCTTTACTGTCAGTCTTACAGTTTCCTATATTGTGGTGGTGGGGAGCAAACCAAGACAAGTTTGCGCTTTTATTATTTTTTTCAGCACAGTTTGAGACTCACAGAGAAATAACACAGAAAGTACAGATTCTGTGTATTTTTTTTCTCTCTTATCTGCTTTTTCTACATTTATTTTTGTCTGATATTTTTTCTTTTTTATAGTGTAAAATCTGCAGAGTCCTAAATTTCACCCCCGTGGTTTCATATGTTTCATATATATGTTCTATTCTGGACCCTCTGCCCAGCCTGTGCTATACAGGATTATGGAGATTTCAGCAGAATGAAGCTATTCCGTAGTTGAGATTTAAAGGTAGACCATGTACTGATGCAGTATACCTGGAAGGCAATCCAGCATTACCCATGAGCATTTTAAATGTACCTGGCACTGGAGGATAAGCACTGGACTGCTAACCACCAGGTCAGCAGTTCAAACCTACCAGCTGCTTCTCGGAAACCTTATACAAGATCGTTTTGTGTTGAAACTGACTCAACAGCCCGTAACAACAACATGACTCAGAATCAACTCGACAACACCAACTCTGGTTTCTTGGCATACTGGTGCTGTACTGTAGGCTAAGCGGATGGCATGGTCGGCAGTTCAAACCCACTAGCCACTCCTTGAAAACCCTAAACCAGGTCTCTATGAGTCAAAATCAACTTGATTGCACTTAACAGCAACAATGACACTATCATCTCTGGGGAGCACTGTGGCTCTGTAGGATAAGCTCTGTGAACAGCAAGGTGGGTGGTTCAAACCCACCAGCCACTCCTTGGAAACTCCGTATAGGGTCTCTCTGAGTCAGAACCGACTAGACGGCACACAACAAGAAGAACAAGGAAGTAATCACTTACTTTTGCTGTCTGTGCCTCAAATCTTTGCTTTAAAATACCCGATGTAAAACAGATCTTGACTTTTTAATTTTCTCTTTGAAGAAGACTAAGTTTGGTTTTTGAGAAGTTAGAGAGCTTTGCAATGAAGATGAGTCATAGTTTGAACATTTAGTTGTCTAAGTAATGTTCTTGTCTTCTTATAAAGAGTTCACAGAATCTATTTTTGAGATCCACACTCTTCCATTATGGATGTTTTGTTCTTGTTGTTAAGTGCCATCGAGTTGGTTCCTACTCATAGCGAACCTGCATAGGGTTTCCAAGGAGCGGCTGGTGAGTCTGAACCACCAACCTTGTGGTTCAAACCGACCTTGCTGCCTAGTGCCTTAGCCCACAGTGACACCCCAGGACTCCATCATGGATGTAACTCCTTTTACAAGTGATGTGTATGCGAATATGTCTAATGCAGAAGAGCCTGGTAGAGATGAAAACCACTGAGTTTAGTTTTCCTCTTGGTCCAAGCCAGAGATTTATATAAATGTGACTATTCCTGTTTCTTCCTTAGAATCTGTGAATCTATTTTTAACTTGCTCCCTCCTCCCCCTTGAAAAGTAATTTTGTTACACATATCTCAGTGATGCTTGGCAAAAATCAAGTAAAAAAATATGACTTACCTTGATTATCAAGCCATCTAATCAACTGACCTTCACATTTCTCTCGTCGTTTTGATATTTCACCAAACACAGAGCAAAGAATCCCAACCTTAAGTGAACCCAAGCCTTAAGACAAGTTACTTCAAGTGCTTCCCTGCTGTCCCCACCTGGCCTTGGGTGTTTGTTTGTTTGTTTATTTATTTATTTATTTATTTATTTATTTATTTATTTATTTATTTATTTATTTTTACACCTTATCAGGATTTTGAACTTGGTTTCTGCAGTCAGAGATAACAAAAGTTACTCAAAACTCATAAGGCATATATTATAGAAATTTTAAATGCATTTTTCTAACTGAAATTATTTCATGTCAGTTAATTTCTAATTGGGAGTCCAGTGGCTCTATAAGATAAGCTCTGTCTTGCTAATCAGCTCAGCAGTTTGAGCCTTGAGAACCACAAATTTGGTAGTTCTAGCCCACAAGCTGCTCTGCTGGAGAAAGAGGAGACTTTTGCTCCTGCAAAGATTTAAAGCCTTGGAAACCCTATACAGGATCACTGTGAGTCGGAACCAATTCAACGGCACCTAACAACAATTTTTTGATTTAAGTTATTTAACTATTTGTAAAGGTTCGAATCCATGTATACTTTCTGAGACCAAGGATTTTATGTTTTGAAGGTTTTTTTTTTTTTTTTATGGTCAATTTCAAGATATCATCTTTTGAATTCTATGTGAGCATAGCTTTTTCCCTTAAGTGACAACTAAAGTGTGAGGAAGAAAAGAAAACTGCATGCTGGATAGACTCTTTTCTCTTCCTGAGTCCAGAGACACACATACATATCTGTGGATATGGATGTTTGTGTATCTGAGGGTAAATAAAAAATCTGAAGCTCTGGTTTCTCAACATAGCCTCTATCTAGGTCTATACACTTTTGAAGGTGCTTCTTCCATATCTCTATCCTGGGGTGGCACTGTAGGATAAAACTGGACTGGTAACCACAAGATTGGTGGTTCAAACCCACCATCTGCTCCTCAGAAACCCTATACAGGATCACTATGAGTCAGAACCAACTCGACAGTACTTAATAACAACTAATAACCCTTCCCCTGAGAATTCTGAGCTCTTTGATTTATACTACATCAAAATGGCAGTTTTGGTATCCTCAAGGGATTAAGTTCCTTTGAAATGTTCTCTGAGTTTTGGGAATAAAAGAAGTCAGAAACTGCCAGATCAGGACTGCAAGGTGGATAGGGTAAGGTTTCCCAATGAAATTCTCCTAGGAAAACCTGTGCTTCCCTTTAAGAATGACCAAGTGAATTGTGATGGAAAAAACTCCTTAACAGTGTACACTCTCTTGGCTTTTTTTCATGAATGCACTATTTGATTTTCTTAAAACTCCTTCCTAATAAGCCTGTATGGTCATCCTGTGTCCTCAGCAAACCACTATCAAGATATTACCTTTTGGAATCCCAAGAAACAGTTGCCATAGCCTTCTGAGCCTTGAACTGAATTGGCCCAGCAGACCCCCTCAGAAACCACTGTTCTGATGAGACCTTTATTCTGAAGGCCCACTAACAAGGTTTCTGCGAGAACTTGTCTACATCATCCACTGGTTACATGTATGAACTGGAACCCTAGTAGAAATAAACTTTTTGTGTGACCTACTCTCGTTCATCGGACAATCTCTTTGATATCTCAAGCGAGTAAAGTTTTGCTAAAGGTAATACAGAAAGGGCTACAATCATACATTGACAGAGAACTTCCAGAGGTTCAAGCTGGATTCAGAAGAGGCTGTGGAACGAGCGATATCATTGCCAAGATCATGTCCAGTGGACCTTGGCTGAAAGCAGAGAATATCAGAAGGATGTTTACCTGTGCTTTATTGACTACGCAAACAAAGGCTTTCGATTGTATGGATCATGACAAGCTATGGACAACATTGAGAAGTATGAGTATTCCAGAACACTTAATTGTACTCATGAGGAATCTGTACCTGGACCAAGAAGCAGTTGTTTGAACAGAGCATGGGAACACTGAATGTTTTAAAATTGGGAAAGGTGTGCGACAAGGTTGTGTTCTTTCACCATACTTATTCAGCCTGTATGCTGAGCAAATAATACGAGAAGACTAGGTTCTATGAAGAAAAACGTGGCATCAGGATTGGAGGAAGACTCATTAACAACCTGCGATATGCAGATGATACAACCTTGCTTGCTGAAAGTGAAGAGGACTTGAAACATTTACTGATGAAGATCAAAGAGCACAGCCTTCAGTATGGATTGCATCTCAATGTCAAGAAAACAAAAATCCTCACCACTGGACCAATAAACAACATTCTTATCAATGGAGAAAAGATTGAAGTTGTCAAGGACTTCATTCTTCTTGGATCAACTATCAACACTCGTGGAAGCAGCAGTCGAGATCAGACGACGTATTGCACTGGGCAAATCTGCTGCACAAGACCTTTTTAAAGTGTTGAAGAGCAAAGATGTCAGCTTGAGGACTAAGGTGCACCTGACCCAAGCCATGGTATTTTCAATAACCTCATATGGATGCGAAAGCTGGACAGTGTATAAGGAAGACTGTAGAAGAATTGATGCCTTTGAGTTGTGGTGTTGGAAGAGAATACTAAAAGTGCCATGGACTGCCAAAAAATCAATAGATCTATTTTGGAAGAAGTGTAGCCAGAGTGCTCCTTGGAGGCCAGCATGGCTAAGCTTTCGTCTCTCATACTTTGGACATATTGTCAGGGGAGAACAGTCGCTGGAGAAGAATGTCATGCTGGGTAAGATGGAGGGTCAGAGAAAAAGAGGAAGACCCCCAATGAGATGGATCAGCCAGGTGGCATCATTAATGGACTCAAGTGTGGCAGCGGTGGTGGGGTTGGCCCAGGATCGGACATTGTTTCGTTCTGTTGTGCATGGGGTCGCTATGAGTCAGTTCCGACTCGATGGCACCTGACAACAACAACTCTCATCTATATAAACATAGAGTCATAAACATCCATGTATAGAGGTGATTGTTAGCAGTCCACTGCTTACCCTTCAGTGCCACACCAGGACTCTGGTATGTAGGTATATACATATACGTCTTCCATCCAAACTGTAAATATTGGTTCAACTCTTTTGTGTCTCGCCATATTATTCATTGAGCCCTGGTAGCACAGTGGGTTATGTGTTGGGCTGCCAACAGTCAGTGGTTCAAACCCACCAGCTGCTCTGTAGGAGAAAGATGAGGCTTTCTGCTCCTGTAAAGATTTACAGCCTCAGTAACCCTATAGGGGGCACTATGAGTCAGTGCTCACTGGATAGCACACTGCCACTACCGTTATCCATGGAGCCCTGGTGTGGGCCGCAGGATAAACACTGGACTGGCAATCACAATGTTAGCAGTTCAAACCCACCAGCTGCTCTCAGAAACCCTATACAAGGTTGCTATGAGTCAGAGCAGACTCGAAAGCACACAACAGCCACCTCAATTATCCCTTGGCCTTAAGCCCCAAGTCTACAGTCTCAGCGATTGAATCACACTGGTCATTAGCTATTGCAGCAAGGAATGGACAAGGTCGTGAGCTAGACAGAGTTCACTTCTGATGCTTCCCTATTGCTCCCACGCATCCTTCACCTAGCTACCCAGAACTGGTTCTGGATGATAAGCACTGGACTGCTAGTCTCAAGGTCGGCGGTTCAAACCCACCAGCCAGTCCTTTGGAAAAGGATGAAGTGTTCTGCTCCCATAAAGATTTACAGCCCCAGAAACCTTATCTAGGGGTCACTGTGAGTTGGAATTGACTCAGTGACAATGGACAGTGGATATGAGGGGGCCTAAACCACCATTCTTTCTCTTAAGTCTCAGCCTTGTCTGGAAATGCCCTGTGAGTCCTCATTTCCATTGCAGACATGCCTTGGTGACCCTGTTGGTTTTTAAGGGATCTACTTATGGAGTCCTGGTGTGGCACTGTGGGTTAATGTGCTGGACTGCAAAGTCAGTTTGAACCACAAGGCTGGTGATTCAACCTCACCAGTTGCTCCTCAGAAGCCCTACACAGGGTTGCTATAGGTTGGAACCGACTCGAGGACACTTAACAAGAGCAACAACAACTTACGGAAATAGTTACTCGGGGGCTCTTCTTTTCTATTATCGTGACTGATTACATGGAAACCAGGAGGATTTGTGAGACCTTGTGCTGGCTCTTCCCAAGGCATGTGCACGTGTGCTCGAGCACATACATGTATGTGTGTGTATGTGTGTTTGGAGGAAGGATTGCAGTTCAGAAAATGCAAGAGAGCTTCAAAAAGTTCATGGGCAAATTCCATCATCCTTTAATCTCATTTTTGAAGCACCCTTGTATGTATGTATGTATGTATGTATGTATGTATGTATGTATGTATGTAGGAGGGAGATGAAGAAAGGTTAGATAAAAGTAGGGTTGTTGTAGTTAAGTGCCGTGGAGCCGGTTCCAATGCATAGTGACCCTGTATAGGGTTTCCAAAGAGCATTTGGTAAATTTGAACCACAGGACTCCATTGCCAAAGCAGGACTCCAAAGGTAGTTTGAAGGAGCAAATTATTCAAGTTCAGGAACTTTCTGGTTGAAGGCTACAAAAGAGGAACCATGCTGGCTTACCAATGCATTGTAGGAAGAACAGCTTTCATTCGAAGTTCAAGGCTGTAACTGGGCACTTGACCCAGGAAAGTCCTACTGAGAGACACAGCTCCTCGCTAGTCTTGGAGGTCAAGCAAGGGGTCTTGACAGAAAACCATTCTTAGGATTTGCTGTAGACTTCCTGTGTGCTTACAGCTTTCCTAGCTACATAATTTATTCTGTAAGATTGTTCACAACCTAATGATGAAGTTTAAGGAGGACAGAGAAATTGCAGAGACTTCTGGTTAAAGTTAAGCGGCTTTGGATGGAGAGCGATAGTTCCCCGCCGCCCCCTGCAATGTCCTCGGCTCTGGAAGCTTCTTGCTAACATGTTCCACACCACACTGTTTATTTAACATAAAAGCTGCTGTTTTATGTTCTATACCTTTACACATCTCCTCTAGTCTTCTCCTGCAGACTCAAAACTGAAAGCACTGTGGCATTCATGAGATTCATGAGTTTGGTAAAGCAAGAATGCTTGTTACAATGTACGTGTTACGTACCAAACTGAGCCATGGATACCAGTTTACTAAATAAACCATTTTGCTTTTCAGACTGGAAAGAAATACATCGGTCCTTGTGGAGGAAGAGATTGTTCTATTTGCCAGTGCTTTCCTGAAAAGGGGTCTCGGGTAAGTGTTGGTGAAACTTGCCAGGGGGCGGCATAATTGAATTTGGAACCAGTGCAGATATGTAGTATTGAGTCATCTCAGATCCTTAGCATGCTTGGGTAGTTGTTAATGTTAGGGGCTGCTGACCTGATTCTGACTCATAGCGAGCCCGTGTGGGGCTCTTGGGACTGTAGTTCCGATGGGAGAAGGCTACGGAGGTGGGGGGTTCTCCCATGAACTGCTGGGTGCCAACCTTTCCATTTGCAGTCAAGTGCTTATCACTGGTGCCAGCGGGGCTACTTGTTTGGGTCATAGGAAATGTTTCTGTCAGGAGTTCCTGGGTTGTGCCAACAGTCAGTCTCTCCACTACCACCTGATAGACTGATGGTTTGAACCCACCCGGGGGAGTCTCAGAAGACAGGCGTGGCGGTCTGCTTCAGAAAGGTCCCAGCCTTGAAAACCCTGTGGAGTGGTTCTACTCTGCACGCGTGTCTCCACGAGTCAGAATTGAGTCCACAGCAACTGACAACAATAACAACGGATGTTTATGTTTTTCACGATCAAAGTTCCTGACACATTTTTTCATGCATTGGGAAAAGGTTACAGCAAATCACTTCTCCATTCAGTAATTCATTCACATTTTGTTTCGTGTCTGATTGTCATCGTCACAATGTAACACCATCACTCATTCCACTTCCTGTTTCCCACCTCCATTCCACCTTCCTCCATTCCTGCCTTATGAAGTCTGTCTGTCCTTAGGCATATGCTGCCCTCTTGATCTCAAATGGTTGATGATTTGGAGGCATGTGTACTTCCTTGTGTTTTTGCTGTCTGTATAGACTCTCTGTTGTTTGGGGTGAGTTCAGTTCCAGACATGAAGGCTCTAGAGCAAACAGAGAACAAAGGTATATAAACGCCTTAGCCATCACCTAACATCTGGAGGGGATGAGTCACTGGACCATAGTCCAGGGGAAGGAGACATCGAGGTCAAGTGGCATCACACAGTTCACAGAGACATTCTATTCTTGTGAATAGTGATCAGGGTCTTCAAAGCTTTCATCAGAGATGCTACTATAGGCCTCTCCCCTCTGGAACAAATAAGAGAGAAGCAAATTAAGGACACATGGAAACAGTACAAAGGTCTAATGGCCCACACTAAATGAACCTCAGTGTCTACCACCCTGAGACCTGAACGATTAGATGGTACCCGCCTATCACCACCGATCTCTCTGAAAAGGCTTAAAATAAAGGGTCCTGGAAAGAGTGGGAGAAAAATGTGGGACGAATTTCCTTATATTCTGATGTCACTGCCATCAAGTCAACTCCAAGTCACAGCAACCCTGTAGGCTGGAGGAGCACTGTCCAGAGGGACCCTGTAGGAGAAGCACTGTCCTAGAGGGACCCTGTATGAGGAGCACTGTCCTAGAGGGACCCTGTAGGAGGAGGAGCACTGTCCTAGAGGGACCCTGTAGGAGGAGCACTGTCCTAGAGGGACCTTGTAGGAGGAGGAGCACTGTCCTAGAGGGATCCTGTAGGAGGAACAGTGTCCTAGAGGGACCCTGTAGGAGGAGGAGCAGTGTCCTAGAGGGACCCTGTAGGAGGAGCACTGCCCTAGAGGGACCCTGTAGCAGGAGCAGTGTCCTAGAGGGACCCTGTAGGAGGAGGAGCACTGTCCTAGAGGGACCCTGTAGGAGGAGCACTGTCTTAGAGGGACCCTGTAGAAGGAGGAGCACTGTCCTAGAGGGATCCTGTAGGAGGAGCAGTGTCCTAGAGGGACCCTGTAGGAGGAGGAGCACTGTCCTAGAGGGATCCTGTAGGAGGAGCACTGTCTTAGAGGGACCCTGAGGCTGTAATCTGTATAGGATCAAGCTGCCTCATCTTTCTCGGGCTGAGAAACCACTAACCTTCCTGTTAACAGCCCGGATGCTTGGCCCATTGTGCTACCAGGGCTCCTTTGGGTTGCACAGAACTTCCTCATGTTTCTATGACAGCAGCCTATAGACTGATGAAGACAGGATTCTGGTGTTAAATGGGGCAACCTGGGTCACGGCCTTGAAGATTCGAGTCTCTTATCACCATTTCAAAGAACTGCCATCACTGAAGAGAACTGCTTACTTTGTTTAACATAGTCTCTCCCTGACACTTGGACACTTGATTGCTGTTGTTACTGTTATGTGCCTTTGAGTCGGTTCCAACCCATAGCAACCCTGCATAGGTTTTCCAAGGAGCAGCTAGTGAGTTTGAACCACTGGCCTTGCCGTTCAAAGTGATTTTGCAGTCAGCACATTAACCCACAGTGCCACAATTGATTGAAGATTATAAATTATGACACAAAAGGTTGGCAATGTAAGAATTACATTGGTCTTTCCTGTGCATTACAGATTACTTCAGGAGCTCTGGTAGTGTAGTGGTTATGAGTTGGTCTGCTAACCTCAAGGTCAGAAGTTCTGCTGGAGAAACATGAGCCTTTATGCTCCCATAAAGATTTAAAGCCTCGGAAACCCTATTCAGGAAACCCTATATGTGGTTTCCATGGCATATAACCAACCAACCAACAGATTACTTAGAAAAATAGTTTGAACAGAATACTTAGAAAAATAGTTTGGCATTAGTGTGAGAACCATCTGGTGGCTGCCCAGCATCTCATGGTGCACAGACCAGCTCCCACTACACAGACTCACCAAATGCCAACCGTGCCACTGTTAAGAAGGCCTGCCCTCATCCTCCAGTGGCTCTGTGCAGCAGGTGTCATGATTCCCATCTGTCAGCACAAGGATCCTGAACTTCTCGGAGTCATTGATAACTTGCTAGTGTGTGGAAGACATTCTCACCCAGCTCAATCATGGAAGATTAAACATTCAGGTTGTGATCCTCACTCTGTGGTCTTGGGCGGACCCTTGAACTTGCTCAAGGTACACCCTTGGTCCTTTTCCTTCTTTGTCATCCAACTGCTAAACAATGACACAGGATGACATGTGTGTAAAAGTGCTATGTAGCCGTGTCGCAATCTGTGGTACTGGTGAGACTGAGGTGAGAACACTCCCTGATCTGGCTGCTTCGCTAGTTCTGGGTAGTCAAGGCCAGCTGTGTACAGAACCTGAGACAGATGGGTCCCCCGGGCCAGCTGTGTACAGAACCTGAGACAGATGGGTCCCCCGGGCTGGTGTTGGTGACATTGTCCACACAGGGATCTGGAGGAGGGTGACCTGTACATACGTGGGATGTAGGTTTGGGAGGTGGGCACTGTCAAGTCCTCAGTTACCAGCCACATGCACACCTTCCCTTGAGTTGCAGTGACAGCTCAAGGTAGCCTATAGATGAGGGTAAGTCAGAAAGTTTTGCTATAAAAAAAATCATAGAAACCTTTATTCAACAAAAACATCAAAATGGGCAGCTATTGCTTCTTGACATATTGTCTCTCTAGCTCTATCACTTCTGAGGGTAGTGTTTCCATCTCTCTAACCCCGGCCCAAAGATTTCCACACTCTTCTATTTATACTGTGTCAAAACGGCAGGTGTCAAACAGCATACCGGAGGGACTCAAACCGTGTTCTTTTTTCAATGTTCTTAAGTTTGGGGAACAAAAAAGAAGTCTGAAGGGGCAGGAACAGGGCCGTGGGACCAACGGGGTTTCCCAAGCAAATTTTCCTGGGACGACACTTGCTACCCTTGAAGAATGAGCAGGTGAATTGTTGCGATGGAAAAAGTTCCTCGATGAAACTCCTCTGGTCATTTTCTCACCAAAGTTTTCCGTTTTCTTAAAATATCATCCTAATAAGCCCCTGTGGTCATCCTATGTTCTTTAGGGAAAAAAATCTATCAAAATAACCCTGTTGGGATTCCCAACTCAGTTTCCAGAACCTTCTGAGCTGATCTTTCTGCCTGATGTTGAACTGGGCCAGCAGGTCCCTCAGGAGCCATTGTTTTAATTGGACCTTTTTTTTTTTTTAAGGGGGCACCCTTACGAGACTAAGACAAGTGTGTTACTGTGAGAATTGGTCTGCAGCCATCACTGATCACAGAGACAGGTTTAAGTTCAACATGTTTTGTTTGTAATAAACCTATGCATGTATGAGTTGGAATTCTAGCAGCTTTTCTACTAATCCTCATATAGGCAGAAAGACACAGAGTTCCTGAGGGTGAAGGGATCTACCTGAGGCTGCACAGCCCGTCAGTGGCAAGGAAATTACTCCTCTCCTATGGAGTCATCTTGAGGACTAAGGTGCGCCTGACCCAAGCCATGGTATTTTCAATAACCTCATATGGATGTGAAAGCTGGACAGTAATAGGGAAGATCGTAGAAGAGTTGATGCCTTTGAATTGTGGTGTTGGAGGAGAATACTAAAAGTGCCATGGACTGCCAAAAGACCCAATAGATCTGTTTTGGAAGAGGTGCATCCAGAGTGCTCCTTGGAGGCCAAGATGACTAAACTTCTTCTCTCATACTTTGGACATATTGTCAGGAGGTAACAGTCAGTAGAGAAGGATGACATGCTTGGGAAGATGGAGGGTCTGAGAAAAAGAGGAAGACCCCTAACAAGATGGATCGGCCAGGTGGCATCATTGATGGACTCAAGTGTGGCAGTGGTAGTGAGGTTGGCCCAGGATCAGACATTGTTTTGTTCTGCTGTGCATGGGGTCACTATGAGTCGGTTCCGACTCGATGGCACCTGACAACAACAACAACAACAATGGAGTCCTGGTGTGGCACCATGGGTTAATGCGCCAGACTGCAAAGCCGTTTGAACTGCAAGGTTGATGGTTCAAGTTCACCAGCTGCTCCTCGGAAACCCTATACAGGCTTGCTATGGGTCGGACCTGACTCGACAGCACTTAACAACAACAACAATGGGTTAATGCCTGACTGAGTAATTTGTTTAAGCCCACAGTGAAACAGCTGTGTCTAAAGCAATTCTTGAGAAGCAAGGCTGGCTCTTTGCCCTAGAATGGCTCAGATGGGGTTTTAACTAGAGAAGGAGCTAGCAGTTGCGTTGTGGTAGGGTCTATATAAAGAATAGACC